TATATATATTAAAAGTACGAAAACCGTTCGCGAATGTTGTTCGCCTTTTTTAACTTTTAAAAATAAATTTTTCATTAGACAAAATTGTAATTTAGTTATTATCCTAATATATATAGGACTTCCCAAGAGCAAGGTGAGAGTTCTTGGAGAGAGGGAGCCGATGGTCTATCGGAAACAACCTCTCTACCCAGGGTAGGGGTAAGGTCTGCGTACACACTACCCTCCCCAGACCCCACTAATGAGATTATACTGGGTTGTTGTTGTTGTTGTTGTTATTGTATTATTAAATCTTTCCTTATTTGAATTATGTAAAATGTCCTAATATTAAGGACTTTAAAGTATAAATTATTTGGGAAAATTCTTTTCTTTGTATATTCGACGGCAATTTCAATAGAAATATATTTCACATTCATTCTTCTTATATTGGGGAACTTGTAATTGTAATAATATATACTACTAAAAGTAAGAGATTTGGTACCTAACTATATATATATTTTAATTATTAAATATAATTTTTAAATATTACACAAATTGACAAAGAGAATAATATATTGTTCGAATAGGAAAAAAGATCGAAAATAATTTGTATCTTCTATCATTTGCACGTACCTATATCAATAAATATATATTTTTTAAAAATTACATAAATATTATTAAATAATTTATTTGAGTTATTGAATAAATATTAAAAATTATAAATTCCTAAAAATAACGAATGTTAATCTCATTAAGCTAGCTCCGTCAATAATTTTAAAAATATTTATGTACTTTTAAAAATTATATATTTATTGATATAGGTACACGCACAAAACGCGTACCCTAAGATTAGTATATATATATATCAATGCAAAGTTGATGGATTTAATTGACAGCATAAGGGGTAGTAATGTTGGGGAAAAAGTGAATAATATCTCTGAAGGCCTCATTGGTTAAAATTAAATATTTTTGTCCACTTTATAAATAATTATCTTTTCGGTGAGCTAGTAAAAACTAAAAAGTTAGTAAAGTTAGTAAAGAAGTTGGGCTCATGCGCACAAGAATTGAGCCGAAAGTAAAACATGGTGAGTTTTTCATAGAAATGACATCAGGTAGCCATTCTAACGGGCTGCTAGGAATTAGCCAGTATATCTTGAATTTTAATTTTTTAGTTCAATTTTTTGGGACAAAAGTGTCCTGAAGTTAAGATTTTTGGTTTAAAATTTCAGGACAAAATAAATAGTACGACTAATATCTAAATAGCATCCTTGAGAATGTTATCTATGCACTTGCCCCTGTGGAAAATGCATGCGCGAGATAGACATGAGGGCCAATCTGCCCCAAGCTTATTGCAATTCTCTGAAAATAAATGGCTGAGCAAAAATGGGAAGCTTTATGAAGAAATATTTACTAGTATCATCAAATCTTGGAAATAAGCAGACATCATAGTAGTATAGATACAAATACAACCTTCAATCCCTTCATAAATGAAAAATACAAAAGTTAGAGAAAGTTTCTAAATACACACTTGGCAAAGCTGGAAAGACTATAAATCACACTAACACTCATGTAACTAGACTCCTGTGTTAAATGTATGTCAAGAATATTAGTAATACAAATCCACAGAGGATATCAGCTATGTCAAACTCAAATGGCCATGACTCATATAACAAATTGAGTGTTCTCAGCAGGGTCCCCTTGTATGTCTATCTTTACTAACTTGGTTTGTGACTGCTGTTTGACATTATTGTTGTTACATTCATTGTATCTGAAGCATGTAATGAGATGATCATTAACTATACCCGCAACTTGCATGAATGAATACACAACTGTTGGTCCCACGCAAAGAAAGCCTCTTTTCATCAAGTCCTTACTCATAAGTTCTGATTTTGGTGTTTTAGCCGGTACTTGACGCGCGTAGCGAAATCCACTTTTTATTGGTTTGTGATTTACAAATCGCCAGCAGTAGTTGCTGAAGGAACCAAACTCCTGCTGAATCTGCAAGACAGGAAGATATTTGACAGCAGCACCAGTGAGTAAGCACCAGATAGGCAACGGATCGAGGAATAGTTGACATGTTCATACAAAGATATTTTATTATTTGTTTTAGTGAAAAATTTACACCACTAAAGTTTCATTTACTCTTGGTGTGTTTTTGGACTATATAGTAAAAGTTGACTTGTTATTCCTTCTAAATACATAAAATAATAATCACTTGAATGAAGTTACATATACGTTAAATCATGAATCCGTTCACATAGATTTCACCCCGCTATGGGAGTTGAGAAGCAGGCCAAAAAACCTTTATATTTGAAAGAGCAGAGGTGTTCAAGATCAGTTTTGCCATTCCAGATCTAAAGGTATATGGTAAAAGTTCTCTTTACCTTCTGGAAATGCTTTGCGTTCTCTACAATTGCACGTATCTTAGGTTCAGATAGCAATGATTTTCCACTTTCTGTTAGTGACCGCAACTTTTTCTCATTAACATTTGCAAGAGATGATGGATCAAAGTTGTCAAACATCTTCCTGAAAGATGCAATATAAGCTATTTCACACATATGGACATTTACTTTTGAAGCTTGGAGAGATGATCTTTAATGGTGAACCTGAATATATGTCTCTTATTAAGGATTGCAGGCCAGGTCATTTCTGCCAATGCTTGTGACAGGGCAAGTAGTTCATATAGCTTTGTATCATCATAAACTGGGTTTCCATATTCTTCATCATGGAAAGAAATATACAGGGGTTCTGCAAAACAGAGAATAACAGAATTAGGTTACTGCTGGTTGGTTATTTGGTCCAACAAAATAATCTCCTTAAGAATTACTGCAATAGCGTCTCGACAAAACTAGAGGACATGATACAGTAGTTTTGCAGTCTTAACTGTTTTAGTCATTCTCCATTTCAGAAAGTTGGACAACTTCAAGTATTCACTAATTAGCTCCATTAAGCTTCCACTGCTTGCTTGCAGAGGAAATATGTGAATCTAAATAGACCAATTAATAGCTACAATCATTATTCAATTGGAAGGTCTTGCCAAAAAAAATATTTGCAGATAAGATCTATCACATAGTAAGAAAAACGAACGAGAGAAGAAATTGTTTCCAATTACCTACATGCACAAATTATGGCCAAGACAACTCATATTAAGCGTCTTAAAACTACTAAAAAATCCTTAATGTCTCACTAGATTCACTACCACCTTAGGTTGGGCTGTCTATCTACAAGAGAGTTCCAATATATAGATAGGTACACTTCTAGTAATATACAATTTCAATCCATGTAAGGTTCTCATTAACCGAAACGAATAATGTCTGATCTGTTCTTTGATGGTTTGCTTGGCCCCATGCCTTGCCATGAGCGAAGCGCATCCCTTGATGTCCTTTTCAGACTAAACAACAACAACAACAACAATTGTGCCACAGTTTAAGCAAGTTGGGGTTGGCTATATGAATCATCATAGTCCATGTCGCTCCATTTAAGCTCATCTTAATATTAAATTATACACCATAAAAATAAGAAGTGCCAAAAAATTTCTATATTTTCTACTAGCGTAAAAACCTCTAAGAGGATTAAAAGACTCTTAGAAAGACGTGCACTTAAAGTAAACATACTAAAACTCAATCCTTTTTTGTTTGACAAGGTAATAGTACCAAAACTAATCCTAACTAATTGGTATTGGCCGATATGAAAAACATTCCTTCAACTTCTGTTATATAAAGTGAAAAGGAATTTAGGGAAATTTGACATACCTTAATTCTATTGCGAGAAATCATTCATTGGCAAAACAATTATTAGGTTATGCTATTTTGGGATTTGCTTTAACCGAAGCTATTGCCTTGTTTTCCTTAATGATGGCCTTCTTAATCCTCCTTGTCTTTTCGAAAAAAAAAAAGTGGAAGCGGGCTAGTCCCTGAAAATGCCCGGTACTTTAGCGTTGGGGACAAGTAAGATTATTATCTGCCATCGTTATCACAAATTGAATATCATGTTAATGTGCCAGCCCTAGCCCGTCTTGCTCTTCCAATTCCATTTCGAGAGTCATCATAGCTCTTTTGGACTTATACATGCAGCACCCTTTTATCTTTCAGCATAGACCCTTCTTCCTCCTTGCGATGCAAAGGCAATGTCAGGGAGTCCGACTCTTCAATCGAAAAAAAGACGGTCGTGTGCGAGTCGGCTGGGAAAACACAAGCTTAACACGTCTTTCTTTATCTTTTTCATATCTGAATGTCTTTGTCGAGTTGGTTGGCATCATTCGTTCCTTTTTGTCTTTTCATTGTTCGCCTCCGCCCGAATAGATACGCACTAACCCACCTAAAATAAGGTAAAAGCCTTCTTTCCAACTCTTTGTACGAGACTCCTTTCTTATGCTCGTAGGCGAAAGAGACCTTCCTTTGCTCCTCTCGGCGGGATCAGCCAGTGTCCCCGTGTGTAAGGCCCTTTCCTGAAAGAGGTCAAATAGTTTCTGTCCCATTCATACTACTGTTGTCTTATGTGCTATGTCTAGCGGCTGGTGAATCCTACCCGGTATCGGAATTGGGTAGGATATTTCCTCGGTTTCCGAGAAGGGTTTTAATGGCGATCGGACTCCTCTTCTCCGGAAGTCTAATGGTTTGGGGGATGTCGATTCCCTGGATTTTCCATGCATAACCAAAACTTCCAAAGTCAAAACGTGATTCGGAACTTTTGGAAAGATATGAAATGTTTGTTGCGAAAAGTTCCTTTTTCCAAATAAATTCTTCTAGCAACATGATTCTATTGCCAAATTGCAAAATTAGCATTGACAGATAATACATATGTCACTCTGAAATGCCTATTAATGGTGAAGCACGTTGACCTCTAATCTGGAAATAACAGTAAACCTTCTGAGTCATGACCATGTCATACACAAACTTCCTCGACCATCTGATTCTATATATTTTGATATGGCAAACCGACCCCCAAAACCCCTTCGAAATGCTTATTAATGGTGAAGCACATTGACCTCTAATATGGAAATATACTAAACCTTCTGAGTCATGACCATGTCATACACAAACTTCCTCGACCATCTAATTTTATATTTTTTAATATGGCAAACCGACCCCCAAAACCCCCTTTTACCCGTGAGTCAACAACACCATTTTCTCACTTTTCTGTCCTGGTGATTCGAACCCCTAACCTCAATGTCGGAGGTAGAGAAGCATCATTTAGTGATCTGCGTCTGCCAAATCTCAACTTAGCATTATCAGTATAGCCCGTAGAATTATATTTGTAGGTAACGCCCATGTTCTCATCCATTTTCAGCTTCTATTTGTTCTTCATCACTATCAGTGAGCAAGAACATTTATAGTTAATGCCTTTTATAGTAGAAAAGTTAGAAGGAGATATTTGCAAATATAAGAAAGTAGAGGGTCGTCAAAGTAGATAACCTCGGAATTGTTGATGCTTGAATCCAAAAACCATCAGCCAAGGCTAGAAGATGAAATCAACTAACAAGCAACACTACTATAACCTATCTACCAAAAACCAAAAACAAAAGATTAAAAACAGAACATGGATTTATCAACTATATTTGTGTCTACCAAGAGTCGGATGCCACACTATTTTCCTTCTAAAAGGAAAAGGGAAATATGATTTCCAAAAGATTGTGCTCCCTACGTTAGAGTACGAGAGGCCAAACTTTTTATTTTAGCTAAGGTCACAATATTTCTGTAAGAAAAGGAACCTTGTCCTAACTCAACCCTAAAAGATAGGTCAAGCAGTAAAGATTGCCCAGTACTTAACCTATGAGGGATTCTAGCACCTACTTGTACGGGACCCGCCCAAGTCTGGACATCTAGAGCATGAAGTGACATAGCATAGGTAGTCAAACATTAGAAATCCCAAGATTACGATGGGTCTGCCACTAATACATATAAAGAAAATTGACCTTGGGCCTAACTCAAAAGCAAAAACTAGCTCAAGTGATGAGTATATCCAAAGACCATATAAGGATATTGCAGCCCATACATAATGTGGGATTGTAAAAGTTTCAAAGCAAAAGCCTTTTCCTCGCACTCCGCTCTTGCTTTGATCATTGTTTTAAGAACTTAATCCATTTTTATAGCATTATAAAGGCATCCCTCTGCCAAAGAGCTACGGGTTGGCAATTAGAGTCATTAATACCCTAGTGTGGAGGAGGGAAAACTGCAGGGTCTTTGCCTTGCTCCTCCAACGTCTGTGGTCACAGTGCATCAACTCACGTGGAACAGCCTCATGGAAGAAAATTTATAGCAGAAGTTCAAGGTCAACTGTCCTTAGACTTGCTTACCTTTTGATACTCACAACACTTGAGCTTGCAAAGGATATTGCATCTTCACTTCATTACAAGGATCAAGCCTTTTTCTCCTCATTTAGATCAGTCACTATTACGGTATTACCTATATAGATAAAATCCTAACGATTAGAGTTGATGTTCTGTAACTTCCTTATCTTTTTTTAATAGGTAAAGAGTAACTTTCATTGTTAAATCAGCATAAAGAGAATGCTGGGAGAAGTTACAACCAAAAGAAAAAGGCCATTACAAACTATGCAATGAGCTAATAAAATCAACAATAGCCAAACTATCATCTACATCTATTGCGGACATGTTGCACCAAATTCTGCAACTTTGGTGCAACTTCCTTGTTCTATAACTTTCTTAGTCATGAGAAAGTTCTTTAATTTTCGATTTGGGTGTGGATAAATAGAAAATGTTGGGTAAATTAGTCTCTTTTTGATAAAATCACCAAACTTAATTGACATTTCTCCCCAACCTTAATGTATATCTCAAGGTTTGCGCTGCTTACTTGGTATATTCCTAATAGTCGAAATCATTGCTCAATGATTCGCCTTGTTCTAAATCTCCCACTTATCCCTACTTGCTAATTTACGCGATCCAATTTCTTACATTGAAGCACTATGAATAAAAACCAACCAGCAAACGATCCTCATTAAACTTCGAGCTATCCTGCTATGTAATTATCACTATAAACTTATAAACTTGTAACTTAGTTTCGCACGTTGCAACTGAACAAAATTCATTAAATTTCAACTCGAAAATACGTAAAGCAGACAACTTTTCACTTCTCTCACACACATAATGACATACACAAAGAAAAATGGAATAGCAGAAACGGGGTTAAATATTAAAATTTACCCGAGTTAGGTGTTATCCAATCGCAACGCTTAAGCGGAACTAGAACCAAAGGGGCCAAAGCCTCAGCTGCTTCAACTCCTTGAGCAACAACTTTAGCGGGTTTTTTCACACCATTCCTTTCAACTCCTCTCTTTGAATTCACAGCTTTTATAGTTGATGACTCCGAGGAAGAACTATCAACTGACCCATTGCTCCGCACCCGCACAACTGTCTGTGAAACTGTTGACTTCTTAGGCCTCTCGGGTTTTTTTACTCCTTCCTTTTTCCTCTTCTGCTCTTCTAAATCTCTGACCCGGTTTCCGCCCGGCCCAAGTATTTTCCTCGTATCACCGTTAGTTTTCGCCGGTGACCGGAGCTCCGGTGAAGACGACATTTTGGAATAGTGAGATTCAAGGCTTAGAGATGGAGTGTGAAAAATGGAGAATATGGAAATGGTGGGAGAGTGGAGTGTAAAGAGAGACAATTAGAGAGAAACGAAGAAAACGACTGATAAACGGACGGGGTCTTTTTTGGACGTTTTAAAACGAAAACTGTTTGGACTTTACGTTCGGTGATACTGTTGACGTGTCGGTTGCTCTCTACCGTTTTGGACTTTTGACGGAAATGTTAAATTTTGGTGATGTCTCGATTTTGCCATTATTAGTACTTCTATAGTATTTCAAATTTTCAAATGCATTTTTTTTCTTAAAATTTATTTCTAAGGATTAGGAAAGAAAAAGGAAAACATTAAAAATGGAATGCTCGCTTTTTGTATGAAAATTGTTTATTTATACTATTATATTGTTAACTTTAGAGGTAAGTTAGTAGTTTGCTTTTGTCTTATCATTTTTTTTTTATATCCGAGGAAGAAATGAATTTAATTGAGTAAAAACCATTATGAAATTACTAGATTCAAATTAGTAATATTGCATTACTGGAAACAATCTCTCTGTCTTCTTAAAGATTGGGTAAGGTCTGCATACAAATTATTTTTCTCATAACCTATTTGTAGGATTACACTGACTTTGTTGTTGTTGTTGTTGAATTAGTAATATTGCAAGTCAGGTAAAAATTTAGCATTTCGCCTACGGGTTCAACTAAACCTATAACTTTCGACTCGGAGTATGAATTTATATGTAAAAACTTACTAAAATCTCAACAAGTATTACTTTGAACTTGTAATTTAATCGTACAGTGAGTGCAATGATAAATAACTTAAAGCTGGATCCCTTATTATTCAAATTCTGGATGCACCTTTGATTGGAGTATGTAAAATAAAGCTCAAATTTGCTTCTTAGGCCATCATTTTAATCATGATGGAATACAGTTGTAAATCTGTATTGCACTTCATTTTTTGTTAGTGTTTTATGTTGAAATTAGTATATTTCCATTTGATGAAATCTATTCAAAATAAAATCAGTTATATTCTTGACAAATAAAACAACAAAAAGATAATTTGAGAGGGAGGGTAAAACTGGAATTTCAAATTAACGGAGTTTGGAAAGAAGAAACTAGCAGCAGGCAGTTGGAAAGTCTGTTGTCTTATTCAGGCAAAGAGTCACATTCAATCGGTTTCAAAAGTGGGAGTTGGTTAAAAGACGTTACGGAAAAGAATCCAAAGCCCACCACCACAAAAAGGACTTAAATTGGGGACCAAATTTTTGGGTGCAACGGCTATGTAGTCGTTGTTTACCCAGTTAATATTGGGCTAAAAACTCTCAAAGTGGACATGGGCCGGGCCTTCACTCAAGCATGTGATCCAGTTAAACTCAATAACTTGGGTCACCTTTGGGTCCTTTCAACTCAATGATCCACCTCAAGCATATGACCCTATACAGGAGAGCATGAAGGTCGAGAATTGGGGTACAAGATTAGTAGTCAGTTAAACGATTTTTCTCATTGGGAGAATATGGTTCTAGATTAGAGCACCTTATCTGCTCCACCATCTCTTTATTATCATTACTAGTATTTATACCCGCGCGTTGCGCGGAGAATATTTTGAAGTATCTTGATATTTGGCTTAATCTTACGAAAACAATTTTTTTGTCCTAAAATTTCTAAGTGATTTTTTATTTTGCTGTCACTTGATTTAATATGATATCTTTGCCTCTCCTTTTATTATGTATAGATAATATAATATATAATATATAGATACCTCCTTTAATATAACATAGATAATATATATTTCTTACTTCGTCTAAAATATATATTTTATTATTATTATTTTGTATAAAATGTATCAATATTTGGATTTTTTTACATTATATAGTATAAGCAATTATACTTTTCTTCTATTTTATTTTCAGTATAAAGTTTTAATTTTTATATTTTTTACTTCGTCCATAATATATGTTCTTTTATTATTTTGTATAAAATATATCAATATTTTTAGAATTTTTTTCTATATTATATGAAATAAGAATTAGACTTTATGATAAATAATACATAATTTAATTTTATTAAAATATAAACTCAAAAAGAAACTAACTATTACCTAACCTAACTAACTTTGTCCTAAAATTGAGAAGTTGTTTTTTTCTTATGTTGCAACTTAGCTTACTATGGTGTCTTTAATTGATTCTCCTATTATATATAGATAGATTATATGGGATAAGCAATTAGACTTTTCTTCTATTTTATTTTCAATATAAATTTTTGATTTTTATATTTTTTTACTATGTTGCTTGTAATTATTTCAAATTCAAATTAGACTTTTCTTGTATATTTAAATTCAAACTCAAAAAGAGTAACTAACTATTAATAATAAATAATGCATAATTTCATTTTTCAAAATTTAAATTCAAAAAGAAACTAATTTTTACCTAACCTAACTAATTTTGTCCTAAAATTACAAAGTGGCTTTTTATTATGTTGCCACTTGACATACTATGGTGTCTTTGCCTCTCCTATTATATATAGAAGATTTTTTAAAGTTTAAATTCAAAAAGAAACTAATTTTTACCTAACTTAATTAACTTTGTCCTAAAATTGCCAAGTGACTATTTATTATGTTGCCACTTGGCATACTATGGTGTCTTCGCCTCTCCTATTATATATAGATAGATATGGAATAAGAATTAGACTTTATGATAAATATTGCATAATTTAATTTTATTAAAATATAAATTCAAAAAGAAACTAACTATTACCTAACCTAACTAACTTTGTCCTAAAATTACGAAGTTTTTTTTTCTTATGTTGTGACTTAGCTTACTATGGTGTCTTTAATTGCTTCTTCTATTATATATAGATAGATTATATAGGATAAGCAATTAGACTTTTCTTCTATTTTATTTTCAATATAAAGTTTTGATTTTTATATTTTTTTACTAAGTTGTAATTATTTCAAATTCAAATTAGACTTTTCTTCTATATTTAAATTCAAACTCAAAAAGAGTAACTAACTATTAATAATAAATAATGCATAATTTTATTTTTTAAAATTTAAATTCAAAAGGAAACTAATTTTTACCTAACATAACTAACTTTGTCCTAAAATTGTCAAGTGACTTTTTATTATGTTGCCACTTGGCACACTATGGTATCTTTGCCTCTCCTATTAGGGCGTAGGCCTTAGTCTTTTCGAGCCAGGTAGGAGATTCATGTAATTAATCCATTCTTAATACTTTTTAAAAATCACAACAATCTTTTTTCTACTCAAACAATGAGCACTGATAGAGAAAGATATGTCTAGACCAACCTACGTTGTGCCAACTCAACGTATCAAGTGTAATTCCATAAGTGGAGTATGGAGAAGGTGGGTATCCCTACCTTGTGTGTGATAGAGAGATTGTTTCTAATAGACCTTCGCCTCAATAAAAGCATTTTCAAAATATGTTTGAAAAGTACAAGAGTAAAAAAAAATATTATGATAAAAATACTAAAGAAAAAAAGTATCGGCAACAAAATAGTAATGATAATCAAAGTAAAAGAAACAAAAATAGTAGTAAGGTTTTTCTAAGTGTTCCTTATACTACTGTTGCGGAAATAGTAAATGCGAAAAGTAAAGAACACAAATATTTTTACGTGAAAAACACACGGCTCAAAAGGTGAAAAAATCACAACCTACTACTCAGTAGAATTTTTTCCAACACTTCACTAAATCACTGAGCCAAAACAACATTTACAAAACTCTTTATAAACCTAAGGATTAACTCTAATCCCGTTTTGGCAGCCAGCCTCTAACTGTTGCGACAATTTCAAGCTAACTCTAACTTGAATACTCAGAATACCTAATACAATTGCGTCTAGATAAAGCTGAAAGGTACAACTTGAAAATACCTACTATAATTGAACCAGTATAAAAGACAGACGCTTGGAACTGGTTATTCTATTTGGTTCATGTAGCTTCAGGTTCGAACACTTAAATCACACAAGAATTATTTGCAAAATGCCTTGCTATTTTGCTCTCAACTCACGTTTAACTTCAACGTTTGTGCGTGTATGTAAAATGAGAACATCCTGCAATATATAGAGTTAGTAGAATGAGAAATAACTAGAGTTCTAATGCTACTCTTCCTTGGTGGAAGAGTTCTAGTTATCTTCAACTTCTAACTCCTCCCTTATCTTGGATAAGTTCTCTTCGAGTAAGGAGTCCTTCTCCTTATCAATTATGCAAACTTTTCGATCAGGAGATATCAGATATAACAAGTTAAGCTTATCTTCCTCACGTGCATCCCTTATGCTCGAATCTGCCCGTGTCTGTGTACACTGTGGATGGACCTAGTTCATGCTTGAGTTCCTTTGTCAATCATCAAAACAAAACTTTACTTGGGCCAACAAATTTCCCCTTTTTGATGATGACAAACTCTGTGCTTTTCATAAGCATAGGCCCTGTGTCAACTTAGCTCAACATCAATACAATGTTAGAACACTTTTCATTTTAAAGACACTAATCATCAAGGACTAGGTTCATTAGGTTATAAATATCGCAGTCCAAAGTAAAAGGCACAAACCTATCTTCCCCTTTTGGCATCATCAAAAAGATGCATAATTATACTCATTAGATAACCAGATTTTAATAGAAATTACTCATGGCCACTGGGGCTACTTCAAATACAATCATGGAGTCAAGTATCATTTACCAATCTAATGATATTAGCCATCTAAGAAGCATCAACAAATAGTTAGAGCACAAAAACAGTCGATTATCATTGATACTTAGTTATCCACAACCATAAAAAGAAATAAAAACACTGGATCATGAGTAAAAGAAACAAAAAAAATCCCGAACTGGGTCACTGGTTGATCTATACTGGGCTAGGAAGGCTAAAGGCTGGGAAGGACCAGGTTCTTGATTTTTGGCTTGAAGTAGTTTCAGCATATCTTGAAGAATGCCATCATTCTTCTTCTTTTCTTTTGTCAGCTCAGCTCTGAGAGCATCTCTCTCAATCTCCACTTCTGCTAACCTCTTCTTCACCCTATCAATTTTAACATCTTTAGCCCCACTTTCTTACCCCAAAGCTCGCACTTTGATATTCACTGGTACTTTTTTGGATGAACCAGGTTCTTT